CGAGTACAGAACCTTGGGGAACACCAGTGGAAATGGGTGAAAACAAGGAATGGAAGGACTTGAGCTGTCTGAACTGAGTGCCGTCGGAAAGATAGGATTTAAACCAGTCCAGTGGGGTGTCTGAGATGCCGATAGAGGTTAGTCTGTCGATGAGGATAGGATGAGAGATGGTGTCAAAGGCAGAGCTCAGATCAAGGAKGATGAGTATTGACAGAAGTCCTGAGTCAGCAGCAAGGAGAAAATCATTAGTAATAAGAGCAGTTTCAGTGCTGTGATGTGGTCGACAACCTGTTTGTAGAGGTTATTGCTGGAGAGGTGTGAGTGAAGCTGATTAACACGACCTTTTCAAGGATTTTAGAGATGAAGGGCAGATTAGAAATGAGACGGAGGTTATTGAAGTTAGTTGGATCTAGACCTGTTTTCTTTATAATGGGGTGATGGCAGCCGATTTAAAAGCTGTGGGAACAGTATCAGTACCAGTAGCATACCATCCCAATTTGTCCAGCTGCAGAAATGATCTCAGACTGTGTGTGAAGCTGCTGGGATGTTTATCACCCGCCTCCTTTAATCCACTTTATGACTGAGAGGTTTAGAAATGACGAAGCTCTAACAGATTTAGTCAAACCTTGAAAATAACATTTTGTGTGATGTCAGTGGTAGTAGCTGAGAGTCATCCTCAGCACATACGTTGTCATCAGCTGTGGCGCTCATCTTTAAAACCGTCTGGAACCAGAAGTGAGTTAGTTGTAAATTCAGAGACAATTACTGGTTTGAGTTGCTTTCAAATCCATCCACTAGTTCATGAGATATTTTGCAAACATAGGGTAAAACAAAAAGGGTTATCAGTCACTTCTAGATATTTAGCTTAGTGTGGTAGTAGCTGAGAGTCATCCACAACATGTACTCTGACAGTCTACAACTCAGGCATGAAAAGCAGCAGTTTTTTTATTATAAATTCTGACTTTCCTCTGTCGTAGTCCCAGTGGACTCCATGATGTCATTTAAACAAACAAATGTCCGACCAGGTTTAGCTTCACTTTAGACAAACTGAAACGTTTCTCCCAACTTAAAACATTTCATTAAAAATGAAGTGGCGCTTGAAAAGAAATCGTTATACGTTCTCAATTCTTTAGTTTGTCCTGGGGTTTTGCCGACTCGGCTTAAAAATTAGTCTAATATTTCTATAAAAAATCAATTAAAGATGTGTGAATTTAGTATCAATACATGCACCCAATACAAATAACAGAAGTGGTGCAATTTGAATGTCAAAGAGTTGGGAGCTCATGTGAAATGTAAAGGAAAAAAAGGTTGCAAATCTTTTAAAATGTTTTAGAATACTTTTGTGAGTCTTATTTTATTCACGTGGGAACAAAGTAACCCTATCACATGTTTAAACTAAGAATTTGTTAAATCTTTAGGCAAATTTAGTCATTTTAAAGTTGATGGCAGCAACATGTCTGTTTTAAATATTTGCAGGTGTTTCTCTGTGCAACATCTGCTCTTCTTTTCCCATCAGTCTGTAAACATGTAGGAAGTATATTATTATTATTATTATTATTATTATTATTATTAGGAAGTGAGGAGAGCAGTTGGTGAAAGAACTTCTGTCTCATTCTGGTCTGATGGAGCCTCCAGCTGTTCCATTGATTCTTTAGATTCACAATGAGCCAGATGTTTGCAGATGACAGTTCTGGGCCCGTATTTATCAAACTTCTTAGAATTACTCTTAAGAATGCTGCTGAGTGTGGACTTAAGTGTAAAATAATTCTTAGTTAAAAGCTGAGAGTAAAAGTCATTTATCAAGTGTCTCAGTCTTACTTTAAGTGAAGTGCAGGAGTAATTCTTAAGTGTCAGTCTT